CTTCGTACCTACGAAGGATTTGCTCCCTACGAAGCGTCCGAATCTTTTGTATTACAAAGAATTTGGCATTTTTCTTCGTAAGACTTTAACAGTGCTTCGTACTCTTCCCATACGCTTCTTCCCAAATGGGAAAATTCCTTTACATTTATAGGAATTTTCACTTCCGATACGATGTATAGAAAATTTCCTATACATGCGTATAGTAGAATTCCCAACATTTTTTACAGTGTGTGTGATGATAACAGTCAAAAATGGAACCAGGCCGTTACAGAGGGCCATAGCAAGACAAAATCTAACCAAGAAGAGCATCAGGGCATCAAACATGTTTGATACATTAGGAGAAACCTCGTTCTTTACCCAAGTTTGGTCTGGTGTGACTATGAAATGAAAACAGAAAGATCATTGTTGTGAATGAAGGCTTTTCAAAACTTTTCGCGCCGACGCAGTTTTAGCTTTCCTTAATGGATGGCGCTGATCGCGCATGCGCTTGATTGTTTTTTTTTCGTGTTAGAAGAATTTCATTAAATGAAATAGGGAAGTGAAAATGGAAGTAAAGAACGAATAAAAAACGCATTTGAAATTTCCAACCACTAGGTCTAGCATTAAGGCATTAATACCACAGTCCAGATTGTAACAACGTAAATTTGAAAACAGTCTGACCTTATTCTACTTTCTACAGTGCAGTGCAGACTGTAACACGGCGAAAAAAGTTTCTTGTATTACAAGACCGTGTCTTGGATCTTATGGAGAACGCCAATGGCATCCAAGACCAGGTCTTGTAATATAATAAACTGTTTTTTACCGTGAACAGGTGGTAACAGGTCAGACTGCAAAATTTAATACAGTCAAACAGTAAAATTAAAAAGTCATGACTACTAAATATATATTGGCTGTCCTGTAGTAATTACTTCAGATTTTTTGGCTGAGCGATTAGCGAAGCCCATTACTCCACTGACCGAAAAAGCTTCATTCTGTTTGTCTGTCTGTTTGTCTGTCTGTATGCACGATAACTCGAGAAGGAATAGACCATTCCGCTGAGCCGAAAAAGAAGAAGAGAAGGAAGAAGCAAAGGTATCGTTTAGGGCTGATAGGGCCAATTTGTGAGTGATTTTCTGTCTTAAAAATATCACACTTGCTCTAAAAAATCATTTTGAACATGTAAGAGTTGTAAAATGCTGTGTTAGAAGGTCCATTTAGTCCCAAAAAGTATATTTGCTTCTTCCTTCTGTTCTTCTTTTTCGGCTTAGCGGAATGGTCTATTGAGGTAGCGATCTGGGAATTTCAGGGTCGTTTTGTATCACAAAAAGACAGATCGAGTTCGAAGATGAGCATTCTAGCTCAAAAATTGACTTTAAAAAAAATCAAAAACCACAGGTCGCAAAATGTATTTTTTACCGAATATTTTTTAATTTGTTTCTAAGCGGTAACTCGTAAAAGTAGAACCCTTTGGGTGAAAATTTCGTCCGTTTTGCTGTACCGTGTACCGTTTGAGTGCTAGAAATCATTTCTTGACGGAAAAAAAGGTGAAAATGACCGAATGGTCTTCTAAATTGTAGAAAAGGGCTTCAAATCGATAAATTGTACCGGAAGTAGTACTTTATCTACACATCTGGCGCTGAACTACGCCCTCCTTTGGGCGCAAGGGTCCCTTAATAATCTACTATCACTAAAACGTTGATTTTGAGATAAAATCTGTCAAAATCAGAACTTTGAATGAATATCTTTATCAAATAACAGAAGTTTAATTTCTCTTATTTTAGAGTAATAAGTCCCCGACTGCTGTTAGCATGGCAAATTTGGGGGCTCAAAGGCTCTTTTGCCGTTAACTTGTCTCGGGTGTCAGCGCCGCAGGCCTAGCTATATGTGGGCCAGGCGCGTCGGAGCGTAACAGTGTTTCGTGAGATTTCGCGAAGCCTGTTACGCGAGACGTGGTCTTGCGTACATATAGCTAGTTTATAACAGTCCGCTGGGCCTGTACGCGATGACCAGGAAATGACAAAATCTCGCCTGTTACGTGGAACATGGTTTGGTACATATACCTAGTGTACTTGTTCGCCCTGAAAGACATGGAGCCCGTGTAACAGCCAACGTCTTCCTTTCAGATATCATGGGTGGTTGGGTCAGTTTGCCGTCGGTCTCGCTTAGTGAGGAGAAACGGGACGAGCTTGAGCATGGATACCAGAGGTAAGGGTAATTGGACACAGGGCTTTTTTTAGCCCGCCCTTCTGCTTTGAAAAAGCTATCCAGCGGGCTCATGCAAACGACCTCGTGTCTGTGTGACTGTCAGTTCCACTAGGAGGAGATGTGCTTGAGACATGAAATTTTCATGCTATCTTAAGGTTCACTCCTGGAAAACGAAACGCCTACGGCAAATCCTAGCAACCACCCCTAAGGGTGTGAATGGGGGTATCCAAGGTTCAAATATTTTTCCAAAAAGTTATTTTTTTAATGTTCTTCTCAGGGGTAACTCGTCAAAATAGAGCCCTGCGGGCGAAAATTACGTCCGTTCGGCTCTATCTTTAACCTTTTAGGCGTAGGAGGGTCTCTTTTGTCGAAAATAAGCTAAAAATTGCTGTAGTGAACAATAAGTTCTAGAAGAATGCCTAAAAAATGCAGAATAGGAAAGAAACTCCCCCCCCCCCCACCCCTCAAAAAGAAACCTTTTCTAAGCAGAAAGGTTGGGTGGCAGTCGCGTTCCTTCACCGTTACATCCCGTTTCATCAACTGATTATGTTCTTCAGCCCACCCTTCTGCTTTGAAAAAGTTATCTCGCGGGCTTATACAAACGAACTGGTGTCTGTTTGCCTGTTCCACTAAAAGGAGATGTGCGTGATTCTACCAATAAGGCACTGGTCCGTGTCCCCGAAGAAGTTTCTCCTTTATTTAACGAGGTGATTTTACCGTTTCAGACGACTAATATAAATATATTTCAAATATTTCAATCAGCAACAGCTACGGAGCATTATTACTTTATCATTAGGTAGCTCTAATTTCACTTTGTTCCCCGTTGTCACAACCTAAACATATTTCAGCGTTTTCTTTAATGCTAATTGATGCCACGGTTAATTCACTGTTCGAGATCTCTACTTTCGTATTATTTTTACTATTTAAGAAAAAAATAACACACTGTATAATTATTTTGGCCAGAGATGTCTCACATACCCCCTTGGCCTTGGAACGTCTAACTGAATCTCATTAGGCACGAAATTTTGCATATGTTGCGTATGCACAGATTTTTGATCTTACCTCAGGCACAAAATTCTCCCTAGGCTTTGTGTGTGTAAGGCACCCTCCAAAATGCCAGTCTCTTCCTGAAGGTTAGTAATAAACAGATATGAACACTCAGAGGAAACAGAATCGATTACATAAGCCCGCTCTTGAGCCTTTTCAAAGTAGCAGCAGGGCGTGCTACAAATTAAGAGTGCGTGCACACTTAATAGCAAGGATCAATAATTTTTGTACGTAGGCTGGATGTGTGTTTGTGAACATCTAAGCCACATACAAAATTGTATCTTCGTTACAATCAAAAGACAGCATTTCGACGTATGCCTGCAGAAGTGGCGTATCTGTAAAGAGGCGCGGAACACTGGCGGTTCTGTTCTGCGCTGGCCTGGTCAACACTGGCGAACCTGGGAAGGGTCGGTCACACCACACAGGTAGATCTGTGCTTTTCGGCTCACCTACACAGTCAACTTTGGAGGCCTATTGCTCATCGTAGGCACACTCTAAGAAAAATTACAAATTTCTGTATCAAATTTGTTACGGTTTTCTGTATCCGGGCACTGTAATACACCAATTTGCATCGGTGATACAAAATCTTGCAATAGCTTAT